ATACACACACATACACACACACACACACACACACACACACACACACACACACACACACACACATACACACACACACACAAACACACACACACACATGCGGCCCCCAGCCCACCCCCCTGCGACAAAACCCACCTGCGCAAACGTGTCAAACACGTTTACCTGCGTTCAGTGAACGCTCGTTCACCGTGTTCAAAACCTGAACACAAAACGCGTTCAATGAACGCGCGGTAACACAGGTAGGCCTCGATCCACTTTGAAAAGTGGTTGACGAACACCAAGAGAATTGAATACTCACAGCTATTCGGTCCAGGGGGCACGACGATATCTGTCGTATCCATGCTAACCCTTTGAAATGGCTGTTGGACTACGGTGGGCACTATCGACCTAGGTGGCTGAATCGACGCTTTGTCTGCTGCATAGACGGGACAATTTTTAACAATAAATTTAACATCGTCCCCAATATTGGACCAGTACCACTCATTTTTGTCGATGGCCGCCTCGGTAATTCTGACAGAGAAATGTGCTCTCGTTTCCTCGTGGGCGGATTTCACCCAGTCATACCTCATGATTCCTAAACGGATGAGGTACCGACATCCAGATCGTGCTTTCGTCGGTTTTTCGCTTTTCTAACCGTCCTCCGTTCCACCTATAATCTCGTGCCCTTTCATTAGCCCGTCTTTGATCCTCCTTAGAGAACTCTCGAAGAGAATTCCCGACAACCATAGCTATTAAGGCGACATATATACACACCTCCGCTCGTCTAAACAGTCGAGTCTTCTCTAGACCTGACGTTGCTTCCAGGAATCAAGCCTCTGTCGGAATCCTATCAGTAGGACACAGAGGGCAGAGCCACGGCTTCTGGGGATTCCTATGCTGGATGCATGCCTCGTGGGCTCTCGCTACACACTTAGAACAGTCTACCCATTGCACGTATCCCTCGCCTTGTGGCTACATCGACACCGAATAGACTCGAGAGATGGACTCACAGAGAAAACAAAAACGGTCGGGTAGGGAAGGCAAGGAGGAAGAGGAAGGAGAGAGTGGGCCCTCGAGGTTTCCTTCTCCTTGGGCAGCCATACGTGTCACTTCTTCGCCTGCCGAGGGAGCACCTTCACCTGGCCGTATCCGGGCCCCTTGGGCGGCTCCGGCTCCTTCCACGGGGTGATCATTTCGCCACGCGGCACCTTGCCTGGCCTATGCAGACGTGTTAGCCCGTCCGCATTCCCGTGCCTCTCTGTTTTTTCGATGGACGATGTCAAACTCGTACTCCTGCAGCCTTACTGCCCATCGCCCAATCATACCCGTGTAGTTGGTGAGCTTCTTCAGTGCCAGCAGGGGCTCGTGATCCGTTACAAGGAGGAACTTCTGCCCATAGAGATATGGGTGGAAGTGTTGGATTCCCCAGACTATAGCATAGAACTCTCCTTGGGGCGCTGAGTCATTCTTCCTCTCGTCTGGTACCGTCCGAGAAGCATACTCGACCACGTGTTCCCGCCCGTCCTTTCCTTTCTGAGCCAGGATAGCGGAGATTGCTTCGGGCTGCCAATCGGTAATGAGTAGGAACTGTCGTTCGAGATCGGGCCAAATTAAAATAGGTTTCGAGGCCAGGGCCTCTTTCAGAGTGGAAAAGGCCCGTTCACACTTCGCATCCCAGTTCAGCGGTTGGTCCTTCCGTAGGAGGTTCGTTAGAGGCGGAGCAATTGCCGCGAATCCCTTGATGAACCGTTGGTAATATGAGGCCAGTCCCAGAAAGGCTCGAACCCGCGTCAACGTAGGCGTGGGTGCTTCCTGAACCGCCTCGACTTTCCTCGAATCCGGTCTCAAGCCCCCTCGGGTTACCACGTACCCGAGGAACGAGCACTCAGGTACGAAAAATTCGATTTTCTCCAACACGATCTTGAAGCCAGCGTCCCACAACGCTCCAAGTGTCCATTCGATATGCTGTGTATGTCCATGGAACGACTCAGAATACACCAAAATGTTGTCCATGTACACAATAACACAAAAATTGATCATTCTTTGAGCCAGCCTGATCTTGTTAACGAAGTTATGAAAAGTGACATTCATTGCTCTCTGGAAAGTTGTCGGTGCATTGCATATGCCCATCGGACAACGAACCCACTGCCAGGTGCCCTCAAACAACACAAAGCCCGTCTTCGGCCGGTCCTCTTCCCTTACCAGGATATGGTGGAATCCATGTCAAATATCGAATTTACTAAAATAATTAGCACACCTAATCGCATCCAGCAAATCATCCATTTGGGGGAGAGGGTATACATCCTTAATCGTGATATCGTTTAATTTCCGATAATCAATACAAATGCGAATAGATCCGTTCTTTTCGGAACTAAAACTACCGGGAAAGACCAATGACCTGTGGCATGTTCGATCCAACCGTTGGCTTCGAACTCGCGGATGCGCTCTAATGCCGCCTTCCGTTCCACGAGTGAGTATCGGTAAGGCTTGCGGTGGATCGGTGGGTGGTTACCGGTCTGAATCTCATGTTGTATGACCAGGGATAACCTGATGTCTGCATCCTTGACGCTAATGGCATCCCGATACTCAGTGAGAATATCCACAATTAGTTGGTGAGTTTTGTCGGGCACTCATGCCAGCACGCGTAATTCGTAGGGTTGTCTGTGAATGATGACCGACAGGTATTTAGTGCATATCGCTTTCGTGTCCCGGGGCGGTGGGGAAGAGATAAAAGAGTTATCCGACCACCACGAGAATACGGTGGCCACTATCTGAGCCTCTTCTTCTCGGATGGCCACGTGTTCTTCGGGGGTTATCCCGTCCTCAATGTCCCGAGGGTCTACCGACTTCTCGACGACTTTTATCCCAATTTCGAATAGCGAGGCTTCGGGGTACCCGGGGGTTCCGAAGCTTGTGTTTCCGCTCCTAGGCACAGTAATCGTACCTCCTTTTTCATTGTGAGAAGCGATCGGGGAGGTAAGTCTGTAACATCGCAGAACGAACGTTTGTCCAAGTATCGTGGCAGCAACGGGGTAGCCCCTTCATACAGGGTTCGAGGGGGTTCCGAAGAATAGGACATCCTCGACACCTGTACTAGCGGCTCCCCTATGATAAGGGCCCGGGTCCGTCGGGCTTTCTCTTGGGTAAGCACGAACGTCTTTGTCGTTTTCTGTCGGACTGGGTAACCGATTACCTTCCGCATCAGCTCTTGGATCATCGAGTCTTTCTCTTCTTCACTTTCCGAGTCCTCGGGAGGTGAGGACATCTGTCCCTGGCTGGATATTTCTGAATCGTCAGCCAGTCCTTCCCATGTGACCATTTGGATCGGCCCAACGGTATCTGGATAGGTTCTGCGTGTCGAGCTGACCATCGTGCGGAGGGTGAGATGCATAGGGATTGTGTATGGCTTGCGACCCGTATTTTTTAGAACTACTACCCGTCGCACGAAGTCCAGGTTGGCCTGAACGACGTTTCAGGCGGGTAGTCCCAGGAGTACATCGTACGAGTTTATGTTGAGGACCACTACGTCTCCCAAGGCGTGGACTTTTCCCAGTCTAAAAGCGACATTTGTCATTCTCCCGACCGCTCGGATCTTCTTTTCGTTTGCGGAGATTAAACGGTCTCCCTCAGTGAGTGGAATCAGATCTTTCTGTCTCCCTGCCCTCTCTACTACTCGCAGGGATATGGCTAATACGGCTTCTCCAGAATCGATGATTGCATTATAGGGAACTCCCCAGATTTCCACCTCACACTCGGCGGATTTCCACAGGATGGCTTTGATACGCAAAAAGTGATCACCTTTTTTAATGAGCCCCAGGCGCACGGGTTCTGAGGTTCCCGATGCGTCAGGTTTTGCTTCTTTCGCAGGGGCTTTCCCTTTTACCGTTGCCAGCTTGGCGAGTGCGAACCTTTTTCGATTGGCTTTACAGTGCTGCAGCATGTGATGGTTAGATTGTTCCGATATGGACAGAAGGTGTCCGATCGGGAGTGGGATTCGGTGATCTAGTGCTCGAACGATATCAAGCACATCGATCTCCCCGGTAATGAACGCGGGACCACCAAATTCCATTTCACCTGGGGATGGTCTTCATTCCGAGACCTCTCGTTCTTCGTCCGCCGCCTGGATCGCCCCAATCATACCCAACCCCGGATATCCCAAGGATATAAACTGATCGAGCGGGATAAGCTCTGCAGCATCTTCAGTGGCAACCGTTGCAGACACTGCCCCGTCGGTTTCTTCTACCATCGTCCCTGCCCGTCCTGGTCCGTTGGCCAGGGGAGCTGCCGCCGCTGGGGCTGCTCCTATCCGTACCTGCCGCTGGGGGCAGTCTCTTGCCATATGGCCGGGTTGGTGACACGCGTAACACGTTTCTGTTGTGAGTGTCATACTTACACCAGCTCTCGCCGTTGCTGTTGCAACAGGTGCTCCGGTAGGGAAGGGGGCAGCGAGGACATTAATGGGGCGCATGGAGCGCATTAGCGATTCCATTCGGGTATTGTACTCACGCTGTTCCTTCTTGCTTTCCTGCAGGAGGCTAACTAACGTGAGTGTGAGATTTAATATCTCGTTGGAATTGTTTGCCTTTCCTGCCGGGGCAGGTGTCTGAACAGGTATTCTTGCCACCGAGGGTCCTGCACTTTGACCGGGAGGAGGCCGTTGGGTTGCCACCTGTTCCAGGTAGGTAACGGGGCCCGACACCAAGCCCATGTTTTCGAATTTGTGTTGGAGCGCTGCTAATTCCAATTTTGCTCTAGTTAGTTCTGAAAAATCTCCTTCCTTAGCCTGGTCTTCCCCTTCGAGGAAGCTAGCGGCGAACTTCCTTTCCATTTCCTCAGCCGCGTCCATAATCTGCGTCATAGTAAAGGTGATGGGGGAAAACTGGTTTCACGATTTGGCCCGTATCGCTCTACTTCTAAGTCCGTTTATGAAGAAATCCCTTGTGTTATTGTTCATGCTGAGGGGGCAAGGTTATGGATTCCGTAACCCGCACCAGTTTGCTGCAGGGCCGATTCCTGCCAGGGAAGACCTCCGGCCCATCCCCCCTTGCACCCTCAGTTGGTTATTATTAGTCCTGAGTTTATGATCCCAGGCCAGTCTGAAACCGAGGCAATGTCTTACCTAAGTCAACTCTAGACCAGTCTGGGCGCCTACTGGGATGATGTTTTTACAGTTGGTATGAGTGTCACTCTGGGCCAGTCCGGAACCGAATGTTTCCTTGGAGCCACCATTTGGGAATAGATTGATAACAGACGTTAACAGTTGTGTGTATAATAGTTCTTCTCCTCCATGGTTACAGTGGGTGAAGAAAGGAGTAATTCGGGTCAAAGATATTTGGGATCCGGAGAAAAAAGGGTGGAAGACGGTAGAACAACTTAGGAAAATAATTACTTATGCGCACAAATTGGAACAAAATTTAGACCAAATCATTTGCTCTATCCCCTTGGCATGGGTCAAAAAATTAAGAAAAGGGTTCAGTTTTCAAGAAGGAGACTTTGTGACGATCACACATGACCCACAAGATTGACAGGTTGGGCAAATAGTGAGTATAATAGATGAAGGTGCATTAGTATCTTTGTTTAAAATAACAACAAATCACCTAATCAGATGTTCATCTAATATTTTAGTTGAATTCTTTCCTTTCAAAGAAATGTTTAGGATCAAAGTGCTCTTTATATCAGCAATCACAGGATGGAGGGTCTTTTACCCTCAATGCCCAATTTCTGACCTCCCCATAGATCCAGAAGAATGGAAATGGCAAACAGAGAAAAGGGTCAAACCCCATACTCTACAAACTCTAACGGTGAAGGCAGCATATCGTTTGATGAAACCAAGAGTGGAAGTGTCATCCATAATAAGAGAACGATGGACAAGACACCTGAACATTGATGCACAAAGTATAAAGAACATCAAATTCTTTAATAAACTTAAAAAACGACCAGCTAAATTTTTCTCCTTACAATGGTAAATTCTTCATCGTTACTTACCAACCAATGATTGGCTCATAGATCACACAAATCTGGAGCAACGTGGTCTGGCGCTTCCATGGTGTAAAGCATGTCTTACAATCTTCCGATAGAAGAAGATCAAATAAACAATTGAACATGTGTTTATTCAATGCCCAGGAACAATTCTAATTTCGAGAAGATGGGATTGTGCGTGGAGAAGGTTAACAGGTATTGACTGGCCATGGGATTGGAAAGCCATTCTCCTGGGCATATGGGTACCACTGGAAGCACAATCATCAGAATTCATGACAATGTTTTTTTATATAGGAAGGAAATTCATACTATGGGCTCTGTGGTACAAAAGATGTGTACATGAAAGAGAAAATGTAAAACGAAAAGGCAAGGAACTTGCTGATTTAATTGTTCAATTTGTACAGACAGAAATACGGGCACATTGGGTAACAGTGAAATCCAAAATACAACAATTCCATCAGAAGAAAAACATTATCAATTGTATTCAAAAATTTAATCAAGAATGGTTGGGGGGACCTGAAGGAGAAAGCTTGGGAGAAGTGAAATGGCCGGGAGGGGAAGAACAGGGAGAACCTTTGAAGAGGGACTACCATCTGTGCTTCAAGGACTGGTTTTCACTTCCATCAGGAGCCTCACTCAGATCTGCGGACTGCTTCCCTGACCCCTTCCCGCCCTCAAATTTGGCCTTAGTAGATTTGCATTGGTATGCATTGTAATATGGTTAAATAACTCATTTTGCTTATTATGGAGCATGGACTAGGTGGGAGATATGCTAGCTTTGGAAGAAGTATTTGGCGGCCTAAGTCTTGGCTGAAGAGGCAGATCCTACTCTTTGTGTATTGTATTTAAAGTCATGAACTGGGTTAATATGTAAAAAAAAAAATAAAAAAAAAAATAAAAAAGGCAGCATCCCTAAGCCAACTCTAGACCAACCTGTGTGCCACTCCAGGCTAGCCCAGAACCGAATGTTTCCTCGGAGCCACCCTAGGCACCGTCTCACCTATGCCAACTCTAGACGGCCAGAGTACCTATCGGGATTATTCCATGGTTGGATTCTATGGTCCAGGCTAGTCCGGAACGGAATGTTTCCACGGAGCCACCGTAGGCAGTGTCAGTACCTAAGCCAACTCTAGACTAGCCTGTGTGTCACTCCAAACTAGTCTGGAACCGAATGTTTCCTCGGATCCACCCCAGGTATTGTCCTGCCTAAGCGAACTCTAGACCAGCCTGTGTACCTATCGGGTATAGACATGAATGAGCATAGTATGGAGGGGGCAGAGTTATCGGTCCGTAACCGTCACACCAGTTTGCCACAGGGCTGATTCCTGCCAGGGAAAACCTCCACCCCATCCCCCACTTCACCCCCGCTGCACCCCCCCAGTCAATTATGAGCTATGAGCTATGAGTTATGTGTTATGTGCATTGGAGTTGAACGCGGGACCTCCAAGTTATGATATCAGAGGTCTACCCACTGAGCTATTGAGGTTATAAGTTTGTAAAGGTGCTATGCCAGGCTCGGGGCAAGTACGCGGGGTGCAATCTACACCAACCAATTGTGCTCGGGGGAAATTGCGGGCTGACAAAGTCGAACCCGCAACCTCCCC